AGAGAGAGAGAGAAGAAAAAAGAAAAAGATTAGATCAAATGAATGAGGAAAGAAATTGAAAAATTTTTATTTACTGATGATTTACTCGAGAAATACATACCAGTAAAATTTGCTCGATGAACAAACACGATGATTCAATTTGAAAAGTTTAAAGTTTTCTTTTCACAAATCTTACCAATATTGTTATAATAACATTTTACATTACAAATATAAATTTTAATTTTTCCTTTTTTTTTTCATTTTCTTTTAATGTATATATATCTTACATAATTATTTCTTTCATTTTGTTTAAAAATTTTTTTTAAAAAAAAAGAAAAGAAAAAAGAATTTTTTTTCATTTCAAAGTAATTCCTAACTTTTAGCTCCTTAACTTTAATTTAAAAAATTATCAATGTTTGTGGTTTTTCATTATTCAATTTAAAAATTATGACTATTCGTGATTTTAGTGTTTTAACTTAAAGAATTACTATTATTCATGACTATAATTGTTTAATTTTGGAAAATTACGATTATTCGTGATTTTAATACATCATTTTAAAAAAAAAAACTACTATTATTCATGATTACAATCCCTCAATTTAAAAAATTACAATTATTCATGATTTTATTATAGGATTTGTAAAGTCGTGAATGATTGGCTGATTAAAAAAAAAATTGATAAAAAAAAGATGTTCTGATTGATAAAAAAAAAATTTAGAAAAGAAAGCAAATTCAGAAAATTGCATCACCATTTTATTGGATTCATATTTACAAAAAACAAAAGGATAAAAAAAGAAAGTAAATAATATTATTTTATTTTATGTGTAAGTTCATGATAGTTGGCAACAATTTAGAATGAATTGGTGAAAAATTTGAAAGAAAAATGGAATGAAATGGAAAAACTAAAACATAATGGTAAGTAACTTTGTCCAAGAAGTTCAAAGATCGTCGGAAATTAATCGTTTTCTATAACTAATTTCCTTTTTTCACTGTCTAAATTAAATTATATTAATAAAAAAAAAAAAAACGACCTAAATTATAAAAATCTAAGATATTTATGAATAGGCAAAAAATTGAAGCATAAAATTTACGAAAATTTTATCAAGTAAATCAAATACCTACTATAACATTCGGTAAAAAAAATCGCAATAATACCATAAGTAAATTATTTCTATTTTTTAAAATAATTTATGATATTTTGAGATTAATGTTAATATTGAAAGCCACAAATAAATGTCATTAGTAGAGAAAAAAAAAAAATGGTGCAATTATGTAAGCTAGTTATTCATAATGGAAAAAGAAAGATAATTAAAGAAGTGGCATTAAGTGAATTAATTAGAAAAAAAATGACTAAAGAAACAAAAACTGAATTAAAAAGAAGCAAAGTTTGAGCGTCAAATTTTAACCCTTGGATATCATAAAGAATTTTAAACTTGAAAGTTAAAATTTTTAAATTGAACCAAATAATCATTAATTTTAAGATTTGCTACTTATCACATCAGTTTTCATTTTCAACGGTCATAAAAATTTTTTGGTTAAAAAATAAATTTTCAATTGAATTTTTGTGCTGCTTTATATGGGAGAGGATTTCGAGTGGAAAGTTTGACTACGGCATTGATATTTTAATTTGGTAGATAACATGGGAATTGGAGGACGGGTTGGGACGGGTATTTGTTTTCCGGTTTGCGAAACTGTTAGAGGGTTAACGCTTTCTGGTTAACGCTTTGTCAAACCGGAAAGCTAAGATTACTTGTTTTAACATTTTTAATGTACGGGAATTAAAATTTTCGTCTACAATTTGTAATGTAATGTGGTTTATGCTGTGTGGAATGGAATAGCTATATGTATTAATCTGAAATTAGATATGTAATTATAACTAACTACTTAGACTTAAAAGTTCAACTGTATATAATCAATTGTGAATTGTATTTTCGAAGGATTGGAATGGCTCGACGTAATGAATGTTTGGAATGCAAAGTATTTGTGGGTGGCCTGCCAAATGATGCATCAAGTGAAGAAGTAACTTTATAAAAATTAAAGTAGTAAACAGTACTTTGTCATCGTCTCCAATTATTTGCCTATATAAAAACGAAAAAACTAGCTTTTACCAGAATCCATAATATGATTGTACGGGATAAGCAGCACAGTATTGGGGAAAAAAATTAGTTATATGAGCGCTCTCAGTTCGGCCATCATTTTTGCTAGAATGAAAATTTATATTTTGGAGGATTTTAAATTTCAAAATTTCAAAAAATCTTGTTTTTTAAGAATTCTTCATTATATACATGATTGAGAAAATTTTCATCCCCTTATCATTATCATAATCACTGTTGATTGCAGGATATTCAATTACTCCACATTTCATTGCCTTTTTGTTTTTGTTACAAGCCAGTGATATGGTCAGCTAACCTATTTTTTATTCTACCCGGAAATTTTTGACAGAATAATAGTCATTTCAGCTAGAAGAAGCATTCAGTAAATATGGTCGTATCAAAAAAGTTTGGCTAGCACGTCGCCCACCTGGTTTTGCATTTGTTGAATTCGAGGATAGTCGAGATGCGGAAGATGCAGTGAAAGGACTTGATGGAACGTAAGTTCTTACTTTTCCGATACTCTTCGTTAGATCGTTAGAGTTTCATACGAGTAAGTTTGGTTGGTCGACGGCATTACCCACATTTCATTTTCCTATCCACTTTCTGTGTTTTGAAGGATGGATTGTAATATCGGCTCCTTTTTATGAAATCTTTTATCTAGTAAAATGTTGAAAAGGCGCTGAAAACCAGTTCATATTTTCGAATATTGTCCTATTTGTCTTATACTATGGGGGAATTATTTTGCACCCATATCGATAAATGGGTAGTATTGAACATTTAATAGAAAGTAAGGTTAATAATGGTATGATAAAAATTAGAGGTATTATAAAATTTTCAGACGTATTTGTGGTGTCCGCCCAAGAGTGGAATTTTCACATGGTGGTTCGCGCCGCAGTGGTCGAGGAGGTGGAGGGAGACGTCGTTCGAGGTTATTTATTTTCTTCTAGAGTTGATCAATGGCTCGGCTTTCATGTCATGTAGTAGAATGTCTTGCATTTATTTATTTTTTTATGATTACATATGCGAAAGATCTATTAGTTTCAACAATACGAAGAAAAAAGAATACCATAGTATGAAACTGAAATATATATTTTAGCCCGTTACCACCATGTCAGCTACAGGAACTCGTTTTATGAGTTCTGCTTTCGCTCACTTCATACTACTACTGCAGTATCACTGTTCTGAAACTTTGCATCCGACGCTTCAGTTATTTTCGCAATTATACCATCTCTGCATCCTTCATTTTTTGCATTGCCGGCGGGTTCAAAGCCTTCGAAAGTGGTCAGCTTGCAAAAAAGATCCGGAAAAAAGGGTCATCATCTTCTAAGTCTTCAAAAACGCTTCATCACTATCCAAAAAATAAAGTTAACTGGCTGTCATCGTCTGCACAATTTCATTGTTATAAACGACCGCGCAGCTGCGGTATCCGTGTGCTCGGTGGTCTCTACCACAGATGTATCACGTATATGTCACCGCAAAGCTTCCACACTTCTTCCTACTTGTATCACTTAACTCGGTAAGAAAATTTGCAGTAGGAATACGTGAGTATATATAACATATATATGTAAATATATATGTAAATATATATATGTACATTCTTAGGCTACAGATAATTTTTATTCACACTGGAAGCATATCGGGGTAGATAAGTAACAATAGCTAGCACGAGCGGGGTTTTCCGAATGCTTCCAATAAACGAAGGAAGCATTATTTTGTATCAGGTGGCTGAAAGCAAGTGGCATAAACCCCCGATTGTCTGGCATTTAAAAATAAAGTAGTTCCATGGTGTTATTTTGGGCTTTTTTTTGGATTCCGATGTGTTTCCATCTCCTTTATGCTATCGTAGCATTACCTGCTGCATTTCGTAATAGAAATGCTGGCGTATGAGAAGCATGAAGGGTTCTCTAAGCTTCAGTATTGCAACTTACTGATAGTCTAAGCGGATGTGAACTTCTTTTTGATGACTTGCGGGCACTTTAATCCAACAAGTTCTTATCCAGTCATGGGGATCTTGTGTTTTGACCTGATATTCTGGTGATGTTTTGCTGAAAAGCTGCTTACATGATTTAGGTTATACCAGTTTGTAATATGCACTCTGTTTCGACGATTTTATCGGTTTCTCTTGGATAAACCATCATTTGCTCAGATGTGGAAGCATAATTTCGAACAACAGAGTGCATGGAAGATTTAACATCTTTATTTTAAATTTGCAAGATTTATCACTTTTACGCTTGTTATCGTCCAGTCTCCTATTGTAGGACACCGATACGCCGACGATCACTCAGTCGTTCGCGTTCACCGCCACCGCGACGATCGCCGCGGTATAGCCGTAGCCGGAGTCGTAGTGTAAATCGGTTTGTTCTTTTTTTTCCCCCCTGTGGAAGCCTCTTATTATAAATCATAATACATCAGGAGTTTGGATTCTTTCTTTTAAAGCAATAAGTGCCAAGTGAATCCGAAATGATGGGCAATACAATAAAATACATTTCTGGCTTGTTGCTTTTCATTTAAAAAGAATAATTTTGGTTTTTATAAAATGATTTGCTATGCGAGCCCTTCAGTAGTCATTGTCTTGGACATGTTGATACGTTCAATCCTATAAATTTGTACACCGTACATCCCAACTAAATTAATCTTGGTTCCCGATTTTTGAGTTCATCTCCTTGACTCAGTTGTCATTGCTATCAATAATTTTTTTATTGAAGGTAACAGACTTACTGTTATTTTGGGATCTATTGTTAGGCCTACTGTTATTTCACGGTAACAGATCTACTGTTATTTTAGGGATAAATGAGCAGATCAATAACGACAGTGCATTTCAATCTATGTAAGTTGAATCTAATTTGGTATTTGACAGGGAGATCGAGAGAATATTTACGTACTAGCTTCTTCCTACTAATGATTCGTTTTGCTTTTCCTTAGCTATCTTCAAAAATAATTTATCTAGGGTAAAGATGGGATGATAATAAGATACTGAACCAAATGAAATATCAGAAGTATTCGCCTAGAAAATACACTGCAGATCATTATATGAGTACGAGCCCTCATAACTCTCCGTAATGTAGAATTTTTCCTCAGTACTTTTGCAACCGAAATTGGATCAACCAATATACTGGCCGTCTTACTTCATCCATTTGCCTTCAAATTCAAATTTTTTGTTCCATAAGATGAAACATAATGGTTGGAATTTCCTCGCGTTAAATTCTTTGCGATTAATCAGCTTATTTACAGAACAAATAATATGTAACGTAAAGATCCAGTGAGACGCGGCAAGATTTGTCGGTTAATTGTTCTTAATCTAATGTGAAATCCCTCCACGTTTTTGATGATTTCGTTTGTCTGCTATCATTGTTTGCCGCAAAAGTGGAAAAACGTTGCTGTATTTCAAGAATTTTTTAGAAGATAATGTTGCTTGCTATAGCTACATCTTTTTTCATAATTTTTTTTTTGATTTATGTAGAACTACCATCATTATTTGTTATTATGGAACTGCTAGTATTGCAATAAAATGTTTTGAAAAAATAGAAAATAGATTTAAAATATCGAAATGACACGGTTAGTATATGCTGATGCGAATCATACTTTTCAAATCGTCGATGACTGAATTTAACCATCTAAAAGCCTTTACGAGAATTTATCATTCATCGAAAAATTATTGCTGCCGAAGGAGAAATCATTCATGTTGTATCATTGGAATTCCATAATTTTTCTTACTTTGTTATTGAGCACTTTTTGCAGTTTCTGTACTTTTAAAAGTTCAAACTTTCGAGTAAATCGATTGAAATTGTCATTTATGCTTTTGTTCATTAAATACTGTTATTCGTTTTTGATTATTTGCAGCTTCATAATGGGTATAACACCCGGTTTGCATATTTACGCTCTTATTATAGGATGTGACTGTTGATAAAACAGAATGATTTGCAGTAAGTAGTGAGTAATGGTAGTCACTAGTTATGTCAAGAAAGATGGTAAGAAGTTACCGTGGTTATATTATACTTGTTGCCAAAATAGGTTCAGTGGTATTAATTCCCCCACTATTTCATTGGAATACAAGCGAACTCTCGATACATAAACCAAGGCAGGGAAAGCAGTTTTTTATCCTTTAATTGCAGTAAAATGTTGGTGCTATCTCGTATCATTAGCTTGGAAAAGTGGAGTGGTTCCTTTTTCTTGCTTTTTATGTGTGTAAATGGAGTTTACGTTTCGGTTTTCATGTACAAAGTATTTTGAATAAGCTTTCAATTTTCCACTTTACGTTGTAAAATTAGCAGTCTTTGGTTTTCCTTCACGATGATTTTGTTTCAAGGTTGACCATCTAACCTGTTTGCTGAATTATGTCACGACGATCAGATCCGCTTGATTGTAAAGTGTATGTTGGAGGCTTACCACAAGATGCTACATCTCAGGAGGTTAATCATTTTTAATTAAATTTATATGATGCTTTCTATCAATACAATTCCTCATGATACCTACTAATTAATCACCCAGTAGGTGCTCAATTCTTGTCTTACTTAGTAATTCACTCTTTGTTTCTTCCTTATCCTTTTTTCATTCTGTTTTTTTCAGCTTGAGGATGCATTCAATCGTTTTGGCCGCATACGTAAGGTTTGGGTTGCCCGACGTCCACCAGGGTTTGCTTTTGTGGAATTTGAAGATGCCCGAGATGCTGAGGATGCTGTAAAAGCTTTGGATGGGACGTAAGATTTAGTCTTTCCTTCTTTTTTCTTATGTTTGGTTTCAGAATATGTCGATTTATTTCGGCAAATTAATTGGTATCCATCCTGTATTTCTTGTTTAATTTTTTTAAGAAGAATCTGTGGCGTACGCGCTCGGGTGGAAATTTCACATGGTCGTCGACGAAATGGTGGTTATGGCGGAGGTGGGGGTGGCGGAGGTGGCGGTTATTATGAAGGTAGTCGGCGGCGTTCAAGGTATAATGATTAATCCTTTCGTCAACTGTTATCTTTGTATGTAGGTAATTCCCGTTTTATTTAGTGCTTTTTGGACCGAGCTTATGACATTATTGCTCACCCAAAATTAAGATTTCATTGGAGAATAGATTTTTAATTTGAACTTATTCGGGGTTTTAATTCTCTTTTCCACCAAAAAATTTAAGTCGTGCTACCAGATAGCAGTAATCTCTGGTCCGCCAGATGCACTCATCGATCGTCCAACTTTACCGAAGTAGTCTTTCCATAGGGTTAGTGCTTAGTTATGTAAGTGTGTCCTGTAAGAGTAAAATTTCCAGGTATTTGGAAGCGAAAAGAGTAAGTTATTTTACCCCATCCGTGCGGTTACCACTACTACTGTTACCACATCCATTGCTACTACTACTACTACTACTACTACCACTACTACCAGTAATGGTAGCATTACCACTATCACAACTCATCTCAACATCAACACCTGTTTCATCTGCTTTGCAGCAACTACTGTCAATTCTACTGTTGCCTAACGAACATCTTCATAAAAGCATCACGACTTTTCCATCACTTCATCGATCTTCATCGCCTACATGATTCTTTGCAACAAAAATGCAGCAGTAGAAAATTTCCTGCATGAAGTAGGAAATCTTGAGGCTATACAGATGGTTCACAGTCTCAATGAGACATGAACGAAGGTACATCCCTCCGTAATTCTACCCACCCAATGCTTCAATACAGCCAAGCGCTCACATTTTTCTGCCATCTCAAGAAAATCAAAATAGTTTATGTTGAAAAGAAAAGAATGCGTCAGAACAGCTTCCTTTTTCAACATTACTATTTCATATCAAACAACATTCATTACCATCATCGTCCTAATCGTTATCAGTACTGTCATTATCATGGTTGTTAATCATGATCATAATTAATTACTATCGTCGTCCTGTCATCATCATTATCGTCGTCGCCATCAGTTATCACCATCATCATCATCATCATCATCATCGTCGTCGTCATCAGTTATCATCATCACCGTCGTCGTTATCATCAGTCATCATTATCATCACCATCATCATCATCATCATCATCATCATCATCGT